TTTCTCATCAGACAGGAATTGACTCTGCTGGTGCAGTTCAAATATTCCTAACCCTTTCAAAGTGATTTATAGTGCTGGGTAGTGATGACACATTCTGCAAAATCACTGCTTCAGCTGCTGGGAGCAGACTCCAATATTACCCACTGGTTCCTGCCACTGCACTGCCCCTTCTCTTGTTCTAGAACAAATGTTTTTGCTGCCAAAAAGCTATTCAATCCAGTAATCTGATCCAAGTAAAATAGTTATTTTTTTCACTCTTTCTCTCCTACACCCTGTGCCCACCAAAAAATTAAGAAGTGCAGCAGGAGAGGAGAGGAAAGGCTGTTTTTTTTCAGGCAGGCTAATGTCCAGAGCTAGTTCATTGCATGGCCTCAAAAACATCAAGAAGCAGCAACCACTGATGGGTGAGAAATTATGACCTTAACATTACAGGGATGGTTGAGCGTTTTAAAACTAAAATGATTAATCAAGCTTAAGCTGCGGTGCTGGTTGCGTTTCTTTGAGGCTGCCATAAACATTACCTTTCAGGAAAGAATGTAAGTGGTTATTTTCAGTCCTCTAGTACAGTTCATTTTGTGCAGATACAGTCCATGGGTAGTACAATCTGGGAACAATCTAAAGAGGAGAGAGGGAAAGGGAAAATGTGTTGTTTAAATTAGTTTCAGCAGCACTGAATATGAAACTGTAGACTTGCATTACAACTGTTGGAGTAGAAGGAAGCCCTTTTTTACCAGTTCAGTCCATCTGGCAATAGCTGGTGATAAACAGAAAACTCTTAATTTAGTTGAATGTCAGAAATGACCCATATAATTAGGAACCACGCTGTTCTGATCATCAGCTTTTTCACATGTTGTTATTCCCATTCACTGCCCTTTTCCCCCCTGCCTAGGTATTGCCAAAACTAGTTTATGTGCCTTGTATTCCCCGTAATTAAGTTATCTTTACTGAAGAAAAGTAGTAAATAAGTTGAGGCTTTTCTATGTGTAGTTGGCATTTACCTTCTTCTATGGTCTGTTTCCTTCTTGGTTTGTATCATGTTTAATATTATGATGTTATACCATCAGTCAGATTAGCATACTGGCACTGCAGGGCCACATAGTTTATAAAACACACTTAGCCTGTACATATGGAGCAGAATTTAGCAATTTGGTAGAATAGTTATGCATTTTGAAGTTTACTGCACTCCCTTCTTACAGCTGTGGCTGTTTGTGAGTGTAATTCCTCAGATTTTCTGTTTATTTGAAAAAAAATCAGGTTGTTATCCTTACTAAAAGATTTTTACCATATCTCTTTAATCTTTAAATACCTACTCATCATTAAATAAGCAGTTCCTTTTGTTTGTATTTTAAATAGCTTTTCTCCTACTTTTAATGTCCTCTAAAATAAGTTATTCCTTGCTTTGTAGAATGCTGTGTCTGTATCACTGTTTGCCTACGTACAGAGCAATTTGGCACAGAGCAGACTTGCCTGTCTGAAAGACATGTTCCGTCTATCACAAGCTATTGGGCTTGTTTCAAGAAGTAATGAAGGGACTTGTTGTGTGCAAATGATCAGAATAGAGAATCTTTTGAGTTTTCTTCCCGACTCAGTTTAGGTGAAACAACCTTGTTCTGAAGTATGACCAACTTGTGCAGTTGTGTGGAACTTGAGAGGTCCCCTGCAAAGTAAGGAGATACATCTGCCTGCTGCTGGGTTAGAGGTCTGTGGGCTAGCTTGGAGAGGGCTGATGCATCTATGCTCTGCAGCTCGATGTGATGTAATGGAGGAGGTGGGGTGTCGCTCCTGGGCTCATTAGTCCTGTGCAGAACTAAATGTGTATGTACACAAGGTAGCTTTCTTTTATTTACCGGAGAAGATTTTTGAGACTGCAGCACTTATTACTGCTGCAGTGAGAATCCAAGATGCAATTAATACCAACAATTGCGATCACCCTGAAAATATGCTGTTTGACTCAGAGGTGTGGATGGTATGGGATACTCACCTGTTGCACTGTAATTTACTTGCTGGGTGAATGATGGAACAAAAAATAGAAGAGGTGGACTGAGGACGTGTTAAAAAGGAAAGATTCTAACCCAGGCACCTGCTTTCCAGAAGAGTGTACTAGGATGCTGGTGTGCCTGAGATTAGTGCTGAACTGATGTCCTTTTGCAGGAATGCAAGATTCACAGAACTGAAGATAGATCGTGATTCTGTTGTAAGGATAGGTCCTGGGCTTAGTTGCTCCTTCCATCTCTCTTTGGTTTAAAAATTCCTGTATAATTGCTACAAAATTAATCTTCTTGGCCATGAATGTTGAATTCAGTGCTGTTCTGTCCAGCCACTGAGTACTCCTAAAAGATTAGATAGCTCCAAGGAACTGTGGCCCTTCTCTGTCAGGACTGTGTGAATTTCAAAAGGTCTAAAGCACCCCATGGACATGATCTCAGCCAAACTGTCACTGCTGCTTGGCATATGCCATGGCAGGGACCGTTTTGCAGTTGTGGCTCAGGGGATACATGATGGTTTTGTGAATCATGTTGTTGAAATTCCACTTGCGTAAGCCTTATGTGTCCCCTCCCCCCCTCTCCATATGGGGTAATTTGATTTATTTAAATAACTTTAGTATGAAATTTTGGTGGATGGGGGAGACCCAGAATTTTGTGTGGGTATGTTATCATCTTATCACAACAGTTACTGAAATGTAGTCCCAGCATCAGCAAAAGAATGTAGGCAAGAGATAACTGTGGGGAGGTTAGCAGTTTAAAGAATTTCTGCTGTAAAAGCTTCAATAGTTTTAATCTTTAAATCAGAACTTGTGTTTCTTGTTAAGCTTTCCCAAGCAATAAAAAAGTTATAAAAAAATATAAATCTTTGCAATACAAATAAATAGCAATGAGTTTGTTCAAGTACAAAATATAATGCAAAAAACGGAGGGAGATTTTATGTTTTTGTAGCAGGTCAAGATACTATGCAAAAGTCACAAAGTGGATAGTTATTAAAGAGATGGCATCTTTTAAAAGAAAACTGTGGTTCTGAGGTAAATTTCCTTCCCTTCCCTCCACCTTTTTTCCCTTTTCCCTGGGAAACTATTTTAGTATGAATAGATTTTGGTCTCACAGTCTAACAGTTGTACAAGTATTTTCAAAAATACCTGTACAACTTCAGAGCAGAAGTTGCATTGTAAATCATTGGCATGTGAAACTAACGTACATAGTCACTTTTGAAAACCGCACTCTGCAGCATTTACTTTTAATTTTGAATGCAGAATCTATGCCTGAATTATATGAAAAAATATGATTCCTGTATGAACAGTTCTATTAGTCACTGTACTGTGGGAGTGAGAAGAGATTGTAGCAGAAAAAGAGTGTACAGTAGTGCTGAGATTTCATGTTGACAGTACTGAGATTGGGGGGAATCTTAACATGGGGACTTGTGGTCAAAGCTTTAGATTAATTAGAATGAAGTGAGAGACTTACTGTTATTTCAGTGGGGGAAGATTCAATCCCCTAGTTTTTGCTGAGATTTCTGGAGAGGGAAAAGACAAAGGGGCGAACTTTGAGTATACTCATCAGATACTGAAAAAAATATGAATTGTTTTTTACCAGGTAGATAAAACTTGAAACCCACCTTTTTTCTCCATCCTTTCAAAGACATTGCAACTTGAAAAAGCTCTAATGAATTTTTTCTTCATTATGATTTGCCTTCCCTACTCTTATGTGAGGTTGTATTAGACCATAGATATCAGAATTTGCCACTAGTGCATTTAGACAGTGAAGACTATGTGTAGACTGAGAGGTGAGGAAGAGACAGACTTGCTGAACCCTTAGAGCTGCATCCTGTGTGCTTTACATCCCCAGCTTTTATCAAGTTGGGAGCTCTGATGTAAATGACCCACACAATACTTGGAAAAACCAGTCTCAAAATGTCTGATGATGGAAGGATCTACCCCATTTGGTGCTACCTATGTCCAGTTTGCTCAGATAATGAGAACAGGAGTGCTAAGGCTTGAACGTGCTCAAGAGTTTTCTCCTCTTAGAAGGCTAGAATTGGGATGGTCATTTAGCATGTGTTTGATTTGTTTACAGCACGATTAGTGGCACAGTATGGTCTTGAGAATGGGCAGAGGTCCCTGTTTATTGCACAATGTGGATATGCTCTGTGAAAAAAATGCTGCTGAAGCCTGACTAGATGGCCTAGAAAGGCCTGCATCAAAGTAGGGAGCTGTCACAAATACTAGATTTTAATAGTTTGTTCTTGAGGAAAATTCTGAATTTGATGTATGGCTTGCGAAACTCACTCTTAAGAACTTCATGTAGGAAGTTAACCTGCTGATCATGTGTAGCTGAGAGTATCTACTTCACATGACAGGGCGTTATCAGAGAAAAGTTGCTCTGGTAGGTCAAGATTGGGACAGCAGTTTAGGACAAGGTAGGTGTTCAACCTGTAAAAAAACCAGATAATTCCATGTTGGTAGGATAGAGAAGAAATACTATGGAGGTGAAACCATCATCTTGGAAAAAATAGGTAAGCAAGTGGATGATTTTGGCAGGAAGGTCAGCCGCAAAGTAAAGTGGTAGCAAAAAGAGAGACTTTACGGAAACACAAAACCAGAGCAGCTTCAGAACCCAATTAGCCTTATTTTTTTTATATGACTTCCATTCTTAGCTTCAGCCAAAGTTGGCTGTACCCAGGCTATTCGTATGGTGTGTTCATGCAACCTGTGTCAGAAATAAATTTATTATGTGTTATTTCTAGTCCAGTTTTGTAGAGAGCCAGAGGATTGTGAAAATATCTAAGAGTTTACTTTTCCGAACTAATCTACCTAGCTTCTCCAGGTTCCTTTTTTTCTTAGATACTTATATTTTGACAGTATTATGATAGCATTATGGAATGTCATCTTATCTGTGAGGTACAGACATTGCTTATATATTATATGTACTGACTATTTAATTCAATATATGCTTTGAACCAGCTATTAAATAGTAATTTTTTTTTCTAAATATATTATTTTGATTTCACAGGTACCTGCATAAATATCACCAACAGCCAGTGCCAAATGCTGCCATATAACTACACCACTATAACTTCAGTTCTTTCCATTGTCAAAAGTATTGAAATGGAAAAGTTCCTGAAGTTCTTCAGTTATCTCAATCGTCTCAGCTGCTATCAACACATCATGCTGTTTGGCTGTAGTCTTGCTCTTCCTGAATGCATCAGTGACGGTGATGACAGGTATTGGGAATGAAAATCAGCCAGTGACTAGAGCCAATTGTGGTAAAATACTCTGTCTAATCAGACAAGGGAAGATCCAAACTAAGCCTGTAACCTTCTCATTACAAAACTCCTATCTGTCAAAGCTATTCACAACATTTCTGCCATAAGCCAATTGCAGGGGTTCTCTTAGAAAAAATATTGCCATTGTATGGAATAAAACTGTGATATTTGGGCAGTCAGGCTTATTTTCTTAAAAAAGGCTGTCCAGAATTCTTGCACCTCATTTCTTCAAACTGGATGTGCTGAAATGGAATGCTTCATAATGACATAAAAGCATTGTTTATTTGTAGTATTGGCATAAAGCATGGTAGCTGTTAGTTAAACTAAACTTCAGATTTTTATAGTCTTTTCCTGAAGAAAAGTTAATATTTAAAATATATTTTATGGTATTAGATTAGCAAGATGTATTCAGAATGACATAAAAGCTTAACAGGAATGGCTTGTTTTCTGCATTTACATAATTACACAGCATTAGTATCATGTGCATGCACTTCTTTCATTGAGTTTGATTTGAAAAAGGATGAGTGAGTTTAACAGTGCTAAAATCAAAATATGGCACAAAAAGGAAAAAAAAGAATTATTTTATTTTTAAATATGTACACAATCTCTGCTGTTTCTGGAGGGAGAAGGAGAGAGGGTAGATTTCTTTCTCCCTGTTTTCATTTCCAATTTCTCCATTGCAAAATTCAGTGGAAGAGAATATGGCAATTGAGTGAGTGGTTCAGTTAACATAACAAGAACCAAGAAGCTGAAAGCTGTGCAGTTTATAAGGGATAGGATGCTTATTACAAAAGTTCTATGAGATGGGGTAAGCTAGTCTAAAATATAGCAGCTATATTAACCTTGATTAATTCAGAGCATGATTAATTATAGTCCCCCTCCCACTCCAATTCAGTATTACATTTGTTCCAGTTAAAGAATCTGATAACATGCAGCCTTAAGATACCTGCTGTCTCAAGAAATCATAGAACAAAATAAGAATAGTGGCTTCAGCTCATAAATTGATGCATTTAAACATTCAACAACAGAAAAGACCATTTCTCTGTTGCTTCACTTATTCTACCTTGTTTGGAATTTGATTTTCACAAACCTTTGAGGGGGAGCAGTACATGTCAAAAGTGCAAAGCTCATAAATCAGTCAAATAGAGTTGTGAAAGGATAAGATTCTTACCTTTCCTTTTCCATTTCTTCCCACATCTTTCTTGCAGGGCTTACATTACAACAGATGCCTTGCTAATTTAAAAAGAACAGAAATTAAACTAATGTTTTGAACATGCAGGTTTTTGCTCTTGTTTTGAGTGGCAACCAAAATAATTTGAGATTCAAGAGTCAGGGTTTTTCTTTGTGTGTGTGTGGTTTGGTTTTTATTTTTATTATTTTTTTTTTTCTTCACAGCAGCAACCTTCTGTCATTAATTTTTAATGTCAAAGCTGTCACTGGATTTCCATGTCCTGGTTTATGTTCTGGAAGTCCCAATGCCTCCCTCTATTCTTAATTTTAAAACTGTTTTTTTTTTGTGGAAACTGTTCTGGCCCCTGCAGGCTGATCAGGAAACAGTCCAATGTGAGACTAAATGATGCAGGATTATGTTAGAATCTGACTTCAAGTAATCATGTCTCCAGAGTGTGTCATGGATGATGCTGAAAATGTAGGCTGAGTGGCAACCACAGGAAGAACCAAAAGGGTGGACTGACAAAGTGCTGGTTTGTTAAATCTAGTTTGCTAAACCTCAATTGTTCTAGTTTAACTTCTGTTTTCTTCTTTAAAGATAATACTTTTTTCCTGTAGGCAACTGAGTGATTTTTGTGGTTACAGTTTTTCTTGTAGCACTCTATTATTGCAGGCAAACAGATGTATTTCAAAACCAAGAATAATGATTTTAAGAAGCATGCTATCTCACAAAGTCGTTATTTAACACCTTCCCTTCCCCTCTCATCCCTCTTCCCCCCTTCTTCAGCTCCTCTCAGTGAGATCTGGAGAAAGCTCTTTGTTGGTACGAAAAGCTCTTGGTATAATAGGGGGAAGTTACTTTGTATGTGTTGAGTGCATATAGGAGAGAGAGGAAGAGACAGGCTTGGTTTAGGTCTGTTGAACAGGGAAATCTGAGAAGTAGAAATATACTGAAGGAGAAACAGAAGAGCCACTGTGATGAGAATGAATGGGGTATCCCCATTATGCTGTATGGGGTATCCCCATATGTCCATACGCTGTAGCCCTTTTTTGGGACTATGGTTGTTTTTAACATACAGTATCACAAAACACGCACTAGTATGGAGAACAATTGTTACTGACATTGTCACCAGTTTCTCCAGTCAATTACAGCTGTTTCATTCTATTTGCCAGTGCATTGCTGATCATAATTTTTCATCTGTTGATACTTTGTTTTATAGAGCAATTGTTTCAAATTTATGTAAAACATAATTTGACAAATGCTGCTTACATAGTAGAGAAGAAATGAAACTCATGTGATGTTCAGATGTCTAATCTTAGGTATTGTCGAGAGAGTCTGTGTTGGCAGCTGCAGCTATGGGAGCAATAATTATAACAATGCATTACAAGAAGCAACAAGAAGGAGTGTTACAAACACTCATCTTTGGCATCCAGTGTGCTGTCATTACATAGCTTTGTTCTGATATTTAAACTTATGTCTGTTTCACATTTATCTTTTGTGTACTTATAAACATTGTATTCATTAACACTTGAAGATTAAGTTTCTAGGCAGAGATTGTCTTTTGTGTTTGTGTAACACACAGTGTAGTTATGGATTTCTGAATACTACCACAATACTGTTGCTCTTAAATGTGTTCTATATCTTGCTGCAATTAAAATCATGCGTGGCAGTAAAAATATATTAATTTAAAAAGATGTATTTGATTCCAGCAACTGGATGGACAATCAGCTAGCCCTGCTCTTCTAAGAAAACATAATGGTACCTTTAAAATACTTATTTCCAGTAAAAGTAAAGTTTGAAAGTACAACTAAGACCTGTATGAGAATGGAACATAGAAAACTGAAGTGCAATGAGACTTTTGGCTTGCTTATTACTTGGTCAAACTCTGGATAATAAGAGACTTTATTTAAAGGCATTATGAAACTTCTTTCTCCTTAGGTGAGTGGATGAGATCTTTCCAATATTACTTCAAAATCAGACTTAAAAAACCTGTCTTAACACAGTCGAGCAGTACTGCTAAGAGAAAATGACTCAGCCCCGAAAAGTAACACCAGTGATGGAAGAACATCTTAAACTAGTCAATGTGCTTAACTAATGACTTCTAAAACATTCGAGGTAGTAAATTTGTCCTTTTGGGTAGTATTAGTCTGCAACCTATTGCCCCTAAATGCAACACTGCTACTTTTATTTGTTGTAAGAAGGCTCTGACCTCAGAGCTGCAACGTTCTTGCAGCGTAGTGGATGTTTAGAGCAACACACTTGCATTTGATTCTGCAAGTCCTAGAGAGTTCAGCTATTGCATTAAAGCAGACCAAAAAAAATCTGAAAAAATCAGTGTGCAGTGTTTTCAGATTTTTAAAAGAAAAAAAAAGGTGTATTTTAAATCCAAAATGGATGTAAAATTTAAAGATTTAAAATCCACAGAGGAGTTCATAGTGGGTCAGCCTATAACTGCATAATGCAAACAGACTCGTTGAATGATGCTTTCTAATATGTTCTGCACTTTGTGAATACTCATGTTTCATCAAAAGACTTGGTAAAATAGTCAAGTTATAGAATGTTATATATGTACATGGCTTATTTCAGACTTCTTATGCTGGGAGTAAATTTGAAGGCTATGGATTCTCATAATACCTCTTCACTGTCATGCTGTCTTCTAAAGTAGAAACTAATAGCTTGAGTACTTCCACTAATCCTCTGTATAGAAGTGTATTCCAGAAAGCCAAGGAAATGCCTTCCATTGATAGATCCCCAGAGTCTAAAATCTTTGGAGGTCAAACTTAATTTAAGCTCTGCCTAGAAAATAGTATCAAGGCAATTCGAATGAAAAAGTATAATATTCTCTCAAGGTAAAATTCTAATGCACCTTGCATTTCTCTATCTGTTTAGTCACTGTGTTTTTTTTCATGCCAGACATGTTTGAAAATAGAGTTGTGAAGTGGTTTATCTTCAGTCAGGGCTCAAAGTGTCCATCTGAGATCATGGCTTTTTATTCTGGATGATGTACAAACATGCATGGAGGGGCAGCTTCTTGCCTCTGAAAGTTTATAGCCCAGCTGAGCAGAACAAGTAAAGGTTATGAGGAGAGAGTAATAATGTCACATCAATAGCTGGGGAAACCAAGACTGAGCAAGAATTCTGCAGTAGAGCAGAGAACTGAACCTGTAACATTTATATCCTGTGTCTTTAGGTACAAAATTATTTTTCCTCTTTATTAAAGTCTGCAAATTTATTTTGCTCATTATCATTTATTCACTTTAGTTGTGGTCTAATACCTACTGAATGTAAGAGGAAAAAGCTCTCTATAGTAATTTGACTTTTTGCTTTTTATTTTTTTTTTCTCTCGGTTTCATTCTAAAGGTAAAATAATATAGTGAAGGGAAGATGCTTTCTTTCATTTTCAGGCTCTTTCTTACAAAAGGAGTTTGTCATGTTAATGTCTATATGTAACAAATATTTTTGTTGTGCTGTAATATATATGCTACACACAACAGTAGCCAGATAAAAGTTTGTAGAATGCCAAAGAGGTCAGAGTATGGCTACAGGGTATGTTGGAGGTGGAAGAAATTAGTTAGTGAAAATTAGGTTAATAGGAAAAATGTTCTGAGAAGCTGTGAATAGTTTGTATGCAGTCAAACATCCTTTGAAGGCCTGCTTTGTTGTGACTCATAGTGGCAAATTCAATTTTGTGTTTCTTTCCTGTTCATTGTCTTAATCTATTTTCTGTAATTTATAAAAAGGAAAAAGAGAAAATATCTCATTTTCATTATGGACATAAACTAGTATG